TGGCGCCGGGGCGCTGCCGAGGGCCGGGGGCCCAACGGCCTGGGTGCCTGCGACAACCCCGAGAAGTTCCAGTACGTGGAGAAGAGCCTCTCCTGCGCGCCCAGGTGCTCCCCCGGGGTGGACGTCTACTGGTCCCGGGAGGACAAGGACTTTGCCTTCATCTGGATGGCCGTCTGGTCCACCCTCTGTTTCGTCTCCACCGCCTTCACCGTCCTCACCTTCCTGCTCGACCCCCACCGCTTCCAGTACCCTGAGAGGCCCATCATCTTCCTCTCCATGTGCTACAACGTCTACTCCATGGCCTTCATCATCCGCTCGGTGGCAGGGGCCGAGAACATCGCCTGCGACCGGGAGAATGGCGAGCTCTACATCATCCAGGAGGGGCTGGAGAGCACGGGCTGCACCATCGTCTTCCTCATCCTCTACTACTTCGGCATGGCCAGCTCGCTCTGGTGGGTCATCCTCACCCTGACCTGGTTCCTGGCCGCCGGGAAGAAGTGGGGACACGAGGCCATCGAGGCCCACAGCAGCTACTTCCACATGGCCGCCTGGGGCATCCCGGCCATGAAGACCATCGTCATCCTCACCATGCGGAAGGTGGCAGGGGACGAGCTCACGGGGCTGTGCTACGTGGGGAGCATGGACGTCAGCGCCCTGACCGGCTTCGTCCTCATCCCCCTCTCCTGCTACCTGGTCATCGGCACCTCCTTCATCCTCACGGGCTTCGTCGCCCTCTTCCACATCCGGAAGATCATGAAGACGGGTGGCACCAACACGGAGAAGCTGGAGAAGCTGATGGTGAAGATCGGGGTCTTCTCTATCCTCTACACCGTCCCGGCCACCTGCGTCATTGTCTGCTACTTCTACGAGCGGCTGAACGTGGATTACTGGAACCTCAGGGCCCTGGAGCGCGGCTGCCTGCACCTCCCTGGCCGGCGTGCCGCCAACTGCTCCTTGGAGGCCTCGGTGCCCACTGTGGCCGTCTTTATGCTAAAGATTTTCATGTCGCTGGTGGTGGGCATCACCAGCGGGGTGTGGGTATGGAGCTCCAAGACGCTGCAGACCTGGCAGAGCCTGTGCAACAGAAAGCTGGGCGTGAGGACGAGGGGCAAGCCCTGCAGCGGGGTGAGCTGCGGCGGGGGGCACTGGC